AGCACCGAACCATCGCCACACTTTAATGGCTGTCTGAGGGCAAACTGAATCAAAACACTTGCGAACATCAACTTTGCACCCGACCAAATCGACACGAGACTGCTTTGCCGCGCTGACAGCTTCGTAGAAACGTTCATGGACTTCCATGATGCCCTTGCCTGGTAGACCACCAAAAAGTTCGGGCGAAGCCCATTCCGCAATCCAAGGCTGTAATTTTTTCAGAGTGGCACTCATGCAAATACGCCACAGGACAGTGACAATGGCTAAAGGGCGCATGCCACCAGTAGCTTTTGGTAACAAAGCAATTCTAACATCTTTCCACATCGTAGGAACACAGCCATGTCGCAAGCAAGCATCCCAAAGAGCACCGACCTGATCCCAAAAAGCAATGGGAAGATTGCACAAATGGAGAGCTGTCCAGGCATCCATGCCCGGAGCCTTGTCCTTCGCTTTGAGCGCAATCCGAACCAATTCAGAACCACTAACCTGAATACAGTCATCCGGCAATGGATCGCTTGCAGAGCCAATCTGAGAGTACAACTGGTCCCCCAGATTCAAATTCGGAAGCGACCCTAGATTCCAATACCTCTCCCAATCCAATGCTGCGCACTTGGCCCTATCTGCAGGTAGAATGGGGCCATCAAAACTTGCAGTAGGACTGGCGGGCGGCACCTGTTTGACCCACCTGCCTAGTTTGGTGGCATTTTCCTGCACGCTGTCCTTCCACGCCTCCAAGCGTAACTTGGACGCTGCTGTAGCTTCTGCATTTGCCAATTCTAGCACTGCACTAACCAACCTGGGGTCATCCAAAGAGAAAAAAGCCAAAGAATGATGTAAATGAGGGCCATCACGAACCAACTTCTTCTCCAACTCTGGCAACGGGGCCTTTTGGTACTCCACCACTCTTCGTGCGAAGCGTCTGAGCTTGCGCTCTTTCACTGTTTGCAAAGAAGGCGCTTTTGAAGACGGAGGACTGGCAATTTGCTGCGGGCCCTGGCGCATAGCACGACCAGTTTTGCCACGTGCGAGAAGAAGAGATTCTGCGCAGTTGCTAAGTAAGGTCCAAGCAGAGTCCACGTTGCCTGTACTCAATGCATTTCCAAAATCGTCACATACTTCTTCCCAAGCACTTAGCCAAGAAGCTTCAGCAAGCTTTTCAGAATGCAAAGGGGCACCAACTGGGAGAGTCCACGGTGTGGATAATGAACCAGGCACATGCAAGTTGTAAACCACCGCGTCATGGTCAGCCACGCCAAGATGTTGCTCCCTACCAGTAATAATTAACCGAGGAGTGCACAAGCCATAGTCAATGACCACACCTGTATAAACACCTGCAGCAGTTCGATGTGTACCACCTAAAACACGATCTCCGCAAACCAGCTCATCACAGGACCGCCACTGTCCAGTAGCCAAAACGTTAGAAATTGGCCAACAATGAATTTCCAAATTGAAGTCACCCATGATCACTGTATCTTCACCACAAGCAGCAACAAACTCGAACAGCGCACCCAGCGCACGGCTGGCAGCTGTGCGATCTGAAGCATGTAAGTAAACATTGATGAGAATCAACGGCCTTTGCTGAGGTCTATAGAGTTTGACGGCCATGGATCTTTCCACAGACACCATGTCGACAGGAAGGGCCAAGGCCTCAGCAGGCCACTTTGTTAGAACCAATGTACCACCTTCCACTACATTTTTCGAATTTCTTCCTTGAGGGCCAGGAAAAAGTTGCCACCCGCGTGCCTTGACGGCACGAGTCACAGCATTCCAGCTGTGATTGTTAACTCTAGTTTCTTGAAGACACAGAACATGTAAATTCTGGAGCTGAGCAAAGTCAAGCACACCACCCAAGCGGCCTCCCAAGGACCGTACATTCATATTCCCCAACCGCATAGTGCTGTCAGAGCCCGTCATGGGTTCTGATCCACAGCGCCATCCTGCTGCAATCCCAAAATGTCCAAAGCTCGCGAAGCAGCTCGCTGTCTGGCACTTGGAGCCTGAGCCGCAAGAGGCACCAAAATATCCCTCTGGCCCTTTCGAAACTTAGTCCAAACCATTTTACGAGGACACTGACTTCCTGTAAGCCGTCTGATGTTGTTGACACAACGCTTGCAATGCACACAAGCAAAACGCACCGTAAAATTGGCAGGCCACACAATGGCCTCAATCTGATGCGTGCTGTCTGCTGCAGTATCAGTGGTGCGAACTGCTCCAGAGTCGATGATTTCCAAAACTGTGCGGGCACCCTTCTTGAGGTCATCGCTGATGTCTGCATTTTTGAGGCACGCACGCAATCTTTCCACCAACTGCTTTCGTTTGGGCCCTTTGCTGGAAGCATACTGTTCACAAGCAATCTTTGCCAAACGCTTCGCTGTCAAAGCCATACTGCCACAAGTTTTGCAAATGACGTAAGACATTCCAACTCTTTTCTGTTTGCCATTTCCTGTGGCTGGAATGGTAACGAAAGTGGGGTCATGTGCTCCAGCATCGCCACGCTTGAAGCCAAGCAACCTTCGAGCCACTGCAGCTGCACGCACCTGGCGCGTGGCTTTGCTAGCATTCTCCCGTCTGAAGCTGCTGTCCTTGTGGAAGAGCTTGGCATCTGCCTGAGGATGTTTGTCTTCCCTATGCTTGCGGATGACGCTGTACACTTGGCCAGGTTTGAGGTTGTGATCAGCGGACAAGCCAAGTTTGCAAACAGGACACTTCCAGCTATAGACTCCTCCCTTCTTGACTGCAGACAGCGCAGGCAAAGTGTTTTTGAAGCCGATTTTCAACTGTTCCTTCTCATCGGGATGCCAAGCATTGATATGAGCTCTCTTCTTGTCAACCCATCCTTTGCACACCCCAGTGGAAAAGTCACACAAAGGGCATGTCCACTCAGTACGCTTAGTGCGTCTGGACGAAGCACTGGCTGCGTCTTGTCCTTCACTGGCTGCACGTGGCGTGCACGGACCCCGACCCGAAGTAGCAGCCGCAGGGGAAGAAGAATTCTTGCGCTGCTCTGACAAAGTAGAGGCGGGCGCGGGGCTAGCACACCTTCCACGTTTATTGTTGCTATGAACCAGTGACGGCAAAGCTGACAATCTGGTGGCACCAACTGAAGTAGCGCCACATTCCGATCCTCCACCTCTGTTGCCCTGCATTGGACCATTTGCGGCCTGAGTCAAAACTTCAGGAGGGAAAGCACCTTCAAGTCGTTCATAGTGCTTTGAACGAAACCACAAAGCGATGGGAGCACCACCCTTGCCACGACCATTGTAAATCTCCGGAACCCCACGAGGCTGGAAGACAATGATCGGGCGATCGTAGTGCACAGCCGCAGCAGAAACTTCAAGAGCACTGCCCCAAGCACCAATCTTTGAGAGCATGGTGAGATAGCTCTCCCATGATTCGCAAGCATTCTCCGCCTCTGTTGGCTCCTTGCCGTCCCACCAGGGCTTGTAACGACCCTGGTGCTTGGTCAGGTGGGTGACAACGCTTGCACGCACATTCCTGGCTGTTTTTCCGCCCAAACTTTGAGCAAGGGCTTCAAAAAGACAGTTGCCGTCAGCAGGGATGCTTTTCACCTTCATATTGTGAGGGGGCTTGGGTTCCCCCGCAACACGCTTGGCCGGAGGACTCTTTTCAGGAGTACTGACAGTTCTTTTTGCCCCAGCGGGTTCTCCAGCATTGTCCATCTTTGCGTCCGACTTGTCCTCGTCCAAATTCTCAGCAGGAACCTTCTCAGCCCCTGCAATAGTCACTGGCTTTTTGACTGGCGTTCCCATGTAGAAAGATTTGCGAGGAGCAGGCGTGGCAATCGCCTGCCATGCATGGCTCTGGTTATAACTGACCCTTCCATTGCTAGCCAGTTTCATGGTATGTGTTCTCTGCCGTCTTTGTCTTGGAGCTTCAACAGCTACAATGACTTTTTCGCCAGCCTGAATTTCAATGAAATCCATATCCTTTTGAGCATTGGCCTGCACCCACCATTCCACTTGTTTGCCCACAGTTTTCCGGGACAACACCTTGAGTTCAGTCAGGCCAGCACGTGTAAGTTCCTGAGTCAAGGTACTAGCCGCCCAATCTCGCGGAACACCAGTGACGCGCCAAGCTCTGGCCTTAGGAGGAGGCTCGGCGCTCCTGGGCTTACGTACTCCCAGTCCATTCCATCCCCGGGCAATGCCCAGGTCACCAGCCATGGACTGAACCTTCTGCAAGTAGCTGGGCCCATCAAGTTCCGAACTTTTCTTGACCCACTCAACATCGCAAGATTCAATCACGGAGTTGTTCCATTGCAAAGGCTCCACAAACCAGGTACTTTTGCCTGAGCAGCCTAGAAGAGCTTTGGCAGCACTTCGCTCAATGCGTAAAAGGCCAGTGATCACTGGCTTGCCTCCGCCTTTCATGCTTTCTTTCTGAAACGCCCACATATCAAAGACTTTGTCCGCAACATGCTCTGGAACATGCCGATGCAACCAAGCCTGCGCGTTTGCCTTTGGCTTGGCCTGGATGCTCTGCCACTCGTTGTTTTGCAAATATTTTGCATCAACACTTAATCTCACTACAACAGTTTCAGGCTGCACTGCAGGAGCCGCTGACACAACGGCAGCTCTCTTGAGTGATGGCCCTTGGCCTTGAAGTGGGATCACAAACGCCTGCCTGGGCTGCACCTTGCCCGAGATCTTTCCTGGCACCATCCGCAAAGGTCGATCCTCCTCAGTCTGCTTGGCCTCTTTCGGCGCTAGCATCACAGCTGTGATGTTGAGCTCTCTTTTGATATCAGGGGAATCGCCTTTCAGCAAAACCTGCAACTCCTCAAGTTGCTCTTCCGAGTTCACTTGCACTGTAGCTGAAATATTTCCAGGCTTATCCAGTGCGACACAAAAGTCATCAAAGCCCAAAATGGGCCCCGTCCAGTCTGACTGACGCAGGCTCCACACCGGCTTAAACGCAGTGTTGGCTCGAACCACTTCAGCAAAGGTCTTGGGCGTTTTGTGGGGCTGCTGCGTGGCATCCCGGTCCAAGATCAGCACGACCCCAACGGCCAGTTTCATGGCCTTGTAGAAGGACGTCCCACGTGGGTTGGCCGAGATCTCCTCCTGGCGTGCGCTTCTTGGATTTTTTGTTTCAGGAAACACCAAAAGAAGTAGATTGGATTCAACAGGCAGTGGATTTAAAAATGGAAACATAGAAAAAACATCTTCATCGAAACTTGAGGCACAGGGCGGGGTGAACGTAAGCTAAAGGTCATATGAATGTGGAAAAAGGTGGGCGGAACTTGGAAACATGGAGGAAGCGCAGACGATACTCATCCACAGGGAAGGAGTCAAAATGGCTGCAAAGAATTGTGTAATGTCCAGCTTTCAATCGTAGAACATGTGAAGCAAAGAACATGGTTACTGAAAAAAGCGTGGTCCTTTCCAGAAGTGTAATTTTTGATGGGGCTGAAATCCTCAACTGTTGGTCCGAGTCACAAAGAATTCTATTGGGCCCACTGCCAAATTGTTAGAAGCTCTGGCGGGCTTGGAAAGTCTCAACCAAAGGAGATTGGTACGCGACAAAGTTTGGGCCCCATCCAAAATTATAATTTTTGATGGGGCTCATATCTACACAGTGTTGACCTGAGACAGAAAGAACGCTAGCGAACCTAATGTTCTGGTGAGGGATCTTGCGCAAGAGTTCCATCCGAACAACATGCAATCTTCCGCTGCAAGTCGTAAAACATCTGAACCAATGAAGATGGTGACTCTATAAAGTTTGGGCCCCATCCAAAAATTGTAATGATGGGGCTCAAATCTACACAGTGTTGACCGGAGTGAGAAAGAATTCTATCGAGCCTAATGTTCTGGTGAGGCATCGTGCGAGAGGTCTATCCGAACAACAATAATCTTCCGTTGCAAGTCGTAAAACATGTGAACCAAAGAAGATGGTGACTCTATAAAGTTTCAGCCCCATGCAAAATTTTATTTTTTGATGGGGCTCAAACCAAACAGTGTTGACCTCAGTCAGAAAGAGCTCTATCGAGCCTAATGTTCTGGTGAGGCATCGTGCGCAAGAGTTCCATCCGAACAACATGTAAAAATCTTCCATTGCAAGTCGCAAAACATCGGAACCAAAGAAGATGGTGACTCTACAAAGTTTGGGTCTCATGAGATAGGATGCCTGTCCAGATCTCTTTTTTCACCACCTTCTTTTTTGGTGCCGGGCATCTGAGAGGCTCGCGACTGTTGTCATTTTTTGCATTCTACCATGAAAATAACATTGTGTGGGGGGGTGGGGTGGGGTGGGATAATAACGTCATTTGCACTTCCACACATATGTGATGCAACATATCTGTACGCTCTCTTGCATTTCATTCACATCCACATATACGCCATGCTGCGCTGTAGGTTTTCTTGCACTTCCACACATACGTCATTCTACGCTGTAGGTGCTCTTGCACTTCTACACATGCGTCATGCTACGCTGCTGAAGATTCTCTTGCATTTCCACACATAACACGTCATGCTACGCTGTAGGTACTCGTGCACTTCCACACATGTGTCATGCTACGCTGCTGTAGGTTTTCTTGCACTTCCACGCATACATCATGCTACGCTGTAGGTTCTCTTGCACTCCTACACATGCGTCATGCTACCGTGTAGATTCTCTTGCGCTTCCACACATACTCTTGTGCACTTCTACACATGCGTCATTCCACGCTGCTGTATGTTTTAGCGTATGATGATGATGATGATGATGATGGTGATGATGGTGATGATGATGATGATGATGATGTTGATATTGCTGACGATACTAAAGTTTCGTTTTTGGGCCTTTTCAATTCACCCATAGAAAATGTTTGAAAAGTGACGACAGTCGCGAGCCTCTCAGATGCCCGGCACCTTGTTTTTGTTGCTGAGCAGCTGCGGCACGTTTCGGCTGGCATCAACTGGGCAGCACATAAACTCAACAAATCATGAGCTAGAGAGTTACAGAGGGACGGCCCTGGCAGGATTTGAGCCCGTGACCATCTGCTTCCGAGACTGCTTCAAAATGCCCCGGGAGCTTAGAAGGGGGGTTCAGTTCAAGTGAAAAATCACTGTGTTGGACTCAGACCTGCCCCTCCCCTTGCTGAAACAAGAGTAACTCAGCTAGCTACCGCTAGTTTTCGTGACCATGATTTGGGATTGAATCCAAACTTTAAATCGCCAAAGCCATGAGATGTCATGAGCACAGCACTCCTGCAGCTTGTGTTGATTATTTGCGTACGCACAGACCCAGTATGCTAGTCCCACGGCATTCCGCAGTTCCGCGTGCTGGCGCAGGCAAGCAACAAAGCGACACACGGCTTCTTGCCACGCATGACTTACAAACCAACACGGGAACTGCGTTTCTGCGTCTTTGGCAACGAGCTCCACGAAGCTGCACCTGTACCGCAGGGTGGCTGGCTTTATGACCCAATGAGATGTGTGGTAGAGGTTGAAGGTCTGCAGCTCCAACGGCTGTTCAAAGTTTGGGCTGCCAGAGTACCTGGGGTTTGACAAAGCTACAGTACGGAGCGAAAGCTGAACTTGAAACAAAGAAAACTACATGAACTTGGCAGCTGTGGATATGCCTGAAAGCAACAACTAGGACCAGCTAGAACCAACTCCACTTATGTCAAGGAACGTCTCCACCCAGAGGTGCGCATGGTCACGGATGAAATCCACCAGCTGCGACAGCTGCTTCAAGTTGATACCACGGCATTCCGTTTGTGGGACGTTGATCGCACGGCTGCCTAAGGTATCGTAGCTCACCAAGGTATACCTCAGTTTCCCATGTCCCAACCTGGAGAAGTAGCGTAGCTACTGTCGAAGGCACGACACGTCACCAGTCCAGCAGTGCAGTAAACGTCTTCGAAACCAAGCAACGCAGCAGCTTCCAGGGTAGTGCCTGGTTTTAAATGTTGGACACCCTGGGAAAGCACGGCATTCTCCCAGCCACCTGAGTTTCGGACATCACCAAAGCAGTCAGAAAAGTCTGTTTGGGAAACTGTCACGAGCTGGTTGATAACATCTAAGAATCAATGGATATCAATGGCATGAGCCCCTTCATGACTGATGAAAACCACCCATGACGTTTGAAATGGCTCACCTGGCTGCATCTTTTGCGCAGCGCGAATGGCATCTTCCACCGTCGCGGGCAGTGGGCATGGGATCACGCCCGATGCGCCGGCGCCACCGGGGAGGGTTACGGCAGCTGTGGCCATTGCAAAAATTCCAAGGAAATCCAGCAATTGAAAAACTAAGCAGCTGAACACCTTGAATTAAATCAAAACGCTGCAGTCAGACGGATATCAGAGGTATCGAGAACACTGTAGCCGTGGCATGTGCAGATGCGAATCTGGATGAATCTGCTGGATTTGCGCAGCTGTCTAAGCGACTCAGGATGGAACTGAAGGATGAACTGCACATGTCCACCTTGCTGATGGTTTCGGCGAAACAGCACACGCATGAAGCTTAAAATCGAAGGACTGCTTTGCGGTTCCAAAAAGCTTTGGTGCGCTTGCAGGTTGAACTCTATCAAACCAAAAAATGAGCATAGTTTTGTCATGTCTTGTCTGCATAATGACTCCCTTCTGTAAGAAAAATCCACCTTTAGCTTAGCCCTTACAGAAGATAGCAGAAGGTCACCTTTTCTTATACAACGTGGTATCAGACCAATCTGGCGGGAAACCGGCAAAGTGTATCAAGGTGTGGCAAGATGAAAACGACCAAGGTGTTTCCCCACAAGATTGTGCAATTTGCCAGCGGTGTGAAGAAATTTGTCAACATAGATCATAACGCACACATGTGTTGATTTATGTTGGTTTTATCTGATCTACTCAGAGGGATGAGTGGGAAACTGAATGGATGCCGACTGGGAAACAAATCACTTCACAAAATGAAGACCCAGCTGGTTGCTGTCAGTTTTTCCGTGGTTCTTCGACCACCTGCAGGCATGAAAAATGCGTTTCGAACTAGTTGGTCAGCAGAATGCGACGCTACTTGGCAATAGATGGGATCCCTTATTGGCAATCGCGCTGGTACGAGATCTTGTCCACAGTGCCAGCACAATCCAGCCCACACCCCAGGGGTTCAGGAATCCAGGTATCCCGCCTGTCAGGTCTCGTTGGCGACAACATGGCTTTCCAACTCTATAGTTTGTGCAGCTGAATGCAATACTGTGATCATTGCATGAACCCTATACCTTTGTCGATGGCTCTGTGTGAGGGTTTTTTGCGTTTTGTGTGACCTTATGTTTCTGCTATGTTCTTCCTTGTGCCGCCCTGCCCAGTTTGTGTTTGGTCCAATCAGTGAATCAGGATTCATGTGCAGGTCGACAAGGTCCAGGCTTTTAGGCTTTTGACGGAGATTTCTTTCCACAAAACGCTTCAGAATAAAAAGATGCTTGATCCATGGGTCCTTGTGTAGAGTTTGGAAACGTGTTGATTAGCAGAAAAGCACCAGAGAATGCCACCTAGCCCCTCGCACCAAAGAAGCCCATGCTGACCAGCTGGCAAATCTTCTCCTGACCAACGACTGGCTGGTACACACTGCATGCTGCATCCTACACATTCCTCACACTTTGAAACGGCGAAATCAATGCCAGTTTCCAACCATCACGTGACGTACACTTTGTGGAGGGATTGAAGGCTAACAACAAGCAACCACAACCAGAACAGCCACAACAACGACGACGACAACCACCAGCAACAACGAACCACAACCAGAACAGCGACAACAACAATAAATCATGCCCGAAATGAATCTTTAAACTAGAATCTCCCCAGCGTTTCTTCTTCCCAAGGATTGATTTCCGCAGAAAAATGGTAATGATGATGTCGATGGTGATGCTGTTTCAGTGACTACCACGCCTAACAAAGTTTGCAAATGTTGCCACACGAAGTGCAAGGTTGGAAGCTGATCCACTTCAGGCTTGGATTTCCCGATTTGTTTGTTTTCTCTTGTGTTGATTTGTCGAGCAAGTGGCTTCTAAGATTTCCAGACACCAAATGAATGAATGAATTGGGGACTCTCAAAAAGTGAAATGTTCCATGCTGTTCCATGCAACTAGGCTGAATATCCAGCCACGAAGCATCATAGAATCGGGACACCTCATTTGACTCTCTTTTTCTTCCGCCAGAGCGGTGGTCTGGAATTTCGCTTCCGAGGCCGAGATCTGATTGTTACCCCCTTCGGCCACCGAGTAACTGACCAAATTCTCATGCAGGTCAAAGCAGCCTCGCCTTCCTTCCTGGTTTCGTATGAGCTTCCTGAAATAAAAGAAGACTTTGTTTGTGCAAGTTGCAGTCAAAGCCTGCGAACAAAGAACAAAGGAATTATAAAGGGTTTTAGAAAGTGTTGGTGGATGGACTGTACAGAGCCACGTATCAATCAAAATTCTGGCTGTACATCGCAACATATTACTGGCACACCATGCAATAACTGGGCAGTCTTCAAAACCCTCTGTCGCCTTTTTTCCCACAATGGATTGCGATGGTCCCCACTCTGTTTGGATAGTATGACCCTCGGGTAATTATGAATCCACAGGAGTTTTGAACACTGCGTGATTGGGTTGCAAATGTCCATCTCAAAGGATATGGTTTGTCAACTGCTATTAAAACCAAGGATCTGCAGGATATCATGTGCCGGGGAATCAGTGCATGAAATTGCTAAACATTTCCTGCTGAAAACGCAGGCCGATCAGGTTGGACTCCAGGACTGGAAACTAAGACTATGGCCAACTCTAATTGGCAGTGCATATCATATGCACAATTCCCTCATGCGGTACTGTCTCTGCAGTACGTTCGCTCGCAGCAATGGTGTCAGTGCGAAAGACACTTCCTTGCCAAATGAGGTCACAACCAACTGGACTCCCCAACACTGCGGACTCCAACATCAAAACTTGTCTGCATCTCGGCTCTGCACCGCCATCCATCACTGCATACACAAATCCATGGTGTTTGGCAGGGTTCTGCAGCTTGTCGGCTGCTTGTGCATCAATTGGATGGATGCCCCCCTGTCAGGAACCCCTGTCACCAATGTTAACTCAAATTGCTAAAGCTCCACCGGCTACCCGAAGGCTACAAAGCCGGAATTAGTTACGTAACAAGTTTCCACATTCAGCAGGCTCGCAACAACCTGTCCGTGAGCGCCTTCTTGGGCCTTGGGTCACAAGATTAATCCTTCCAGTGATTACAGGTTGGTCTCGCTACCAAAAATTGCACCCCCGTAGACCCTAAACAGTTTTTACATATCCATTGCAGCGTCTGTGTGCATGTTTGTGGTTATACTAGCTCTGATGCTCGCAATGTTTGATCCATGTCAATTGAGAACAGCATGAATCACAAGCAAGATTGTCTCATGCCACACCCTTTCGATTTTTGCCCCGGCATTTGTACCTGAGACAATAAGAGGGAGACAAGGTAGGAGACAGGTGAGAGACAAGTGGTAAAACACAAAAAGCCATGGTGGAACATGATTTTGTCTTGAGACAACAAGAATTACAAAGGGAGTAAAGAACAGAGACAAGCACAAAACACGAATAAAGTCATGAAACTAGAACAGGACACCGCCACTAAGGCAGACATATGATTGGAGACAAATGGCTTCGGAGACAAATGAAGTACGAGACAGATGGAGACACATGATGGAAGACACACAGAGGCGAACAGGCGAAAGAGCCCGACACCACTAAGGCAGACCGATGATGACAAATCAAGTTGGAGACAGATAAATTGGGAGACACATGGCGGGAGACACATGATGAGAGACAAGTGAAAACACAGAAAAAGACATCCGGAGAGCTGGACACCACTAGGCACACTGGGAGACAAATATATAAAGAGAAACAAGGAAAGAGAGACATCCAGAGAGCCGGACACCACAAGCACAGAAGAGAAAAGAAAGGAGACCAATAAAGAAAGACATCTGGAGAGCCGGACACCACTAAGAAACAAGTTAGGAGAGGCACCCAGAGAGCCGGGCACCATTAGCAGACTGAGAGACACATGAAGGGAAACAAGGAAAGAGACATCCGGCGACAAATGAAGGGAGACAAGTAAAAGAGGGAGACAAGTAAAAGAGAGACACCCGGAGAGCCGAACACTACTAGGCACGCGAGTTAGGAGGGAGAGAGAGAGAGACACCCGGAGAGCAGGTCACCATAGGCACACTGGGGGAGACATGAAGGGAAACAAGGAAAGGGAGACATCCGGCGACAAATGGAAACAAGTAGGGTCAAACACCCGGAGAGCCGACACTTCTGGGCGCACAAGTTAGGAGAGACACCCGGAGAGCCGGGCACCGGGAGACACATGCAGGGAGAAGAGAGACATCCAGAGAGCTACTAGTATAAGCACACTAGGTGACAAATCAAGGGAAATTAACCTAGCTTTGCCGCCCAACAGCAGCAAGGGTTCCAACGTCTGAGATTCAAAACTGATCACCTTGCATGCTGCCACAAGGTCTTTTTTTGCAGCAGCACTCTTCACGTCCAGAAAATGGTATTCTGTGTTTTTTTTGTGGGAGACAAGAAGCAGACAAGCGGGATACCAATGCAGACAAGTGGAAGACAAGGGCGAGACAAGTGGGGGACAAACAAGTCGCAGACAAGTGGGAGACAAGTGCGAGACAAGTGGGAGACAAGTGGGGGACAAGTGGAGACAAGTGGGAGACAAGTGGCAGACAAGTGGCAGACAAGCGGCAGACAACTGGGAGACAAGAGGGAGACAATTGAGACAAGTGGACCGACAAATGGACAATTGGGAGACAAGTGGAGACAAGTAGCACGACAAAGTGGCATGACAATTGGGCAGACAAGTCGAGACAAGTGGGAGCACAAGTGGGAGACAAGTCGGAGACAAGTGGGAGACAAGTGGCATACAGTGGGAGACACGTGGAGAACAGCAAGCAGACAAGTGGGAGACCAGTGGCAGACAAGTGGGAGACACGTGGGAGACAAGTGGGAGACAAGTGGGAGACAAGTGGGAGACAAGTGGCAGACAAGTGGGAGACAAGTGGCAGACAAGTGGGAGACAAGTGGGAGATAAGTGGGAGACAAGTCGGAGACAAGTGGGAGACAAGTGGCAGACAAGTGGGAGACACGTGGGAGACAAGCAGCAGACAAGTGGGAGACAAGTGGCAGACAAGTGCGAGACAAGTGGGAGACAAGTGGGAGACAAGTCGGAGACAAGTGGGAGACAAGTGGCAGACAAGTGGGAGACAA